TGCAGGTGTGTATATATCTGTGCTGCGCATGTGTGTGTGCTCGTGTTCAGTGTGTGTTTGTGTGTGTTCAGACAGCTCTCCACTGGGCAGCTAAGCAGGGCCGTCAGGATGTTGTGGAGATGATGCTTCGCTCTGGAGCCGACATCAACATCAGATCGGTGAGGAGGTGGGGGTGGGGGATGGTTGTGGGAGTTAATGACCGTCTTTACCACCAAATACACACCTGTCTGCAGCTACAAACACAAACTTATTCAATCTTTACTTCAAATTATGTTTTGGTTTTTCTGAAGCTGGAGTGAAACATTTTTATAAAAATGTTTGAATGATTCAGTCAAAAAGTGAAATAAACTGATTTAAAGTTCATATTCTGTTTTTCTTAGACAGTCAGGGAGGTTCAAGTTTAAAATGTTGCGTTCAGGGGTATCAGGAAAAAAACATGAATGTAAAAACTTAAAAAAAACTTCATCTATCTCAGAGATGACCATTGATCAACTTGTACCACCAAAATAAAAGCCTCTGTTTCCTCTTTCAACATCACTGCACTCACACTCATCCTGTGAAGCCTGTCGAGACTTTTTCATTACAAATTCATTTCTCTCAGCTCCTTTCTAACTCTGAACTGATCTGCTGGGATTCCTGACAAGTTTTACCTTCAAGTGAACCCTTGGGGTGTGAAGTTCACAGACCCGATCCGCTCCACAAACAGCTGAGGGCTGGTTTCCTCGTAGGAGTAAAACATCTGTTTTATTTAAGGTTATGTTCATCCTCACACTACGGTGGCCCAGAGGGTCACAACACAACATCCCACAGGAAAACGCAACGAGAAAACTAAAATGACAACAAATAAAATTAATCAAAAACAAAATCAACACGGCCTCAGATATGATGACGTGTGTTTGTTCACCTGTACGTCCTGCATATCCCTGCAATCTTATGGTTATCTGGATTATCTTTGAACTAACTCTGGCTTCACTACTGAAAATGGTTAGATTTTAGTTTTATTGCTCCTTTTATGTTAAATTAATTCCTCAGTTTCACCATCTTCTTCCCCGCCCGCCCATTCACACCTGTCTCCATCCCAGCTGCAGCCCCTCAGTCAGTTTTCCAGTTTTCATTCTCTCACCTGTTATTTGAGCTCTGCGTTGTTGGACCTGATTCCTCCTGTGAGTTTTGCTGCCATGGCAGCTTTGATTTGTTTTGGTTATTTAAATAAAAGCTTGAAGTTTATTTGAGCTCCTCATCAGTCTGCATCTTTAACCTACACATCGTTAGAGCGCCACAGGCCTGCAGGATTAAGAGCGTTAATCTGCTGCCTCTCCTCGTGCTGCTGGCAGTGAGGAGGAGGAGGATGATGATGATGGTGTGGTCACAGGAGTTAATGTTTAAGTCCCTCCAGATGAGTCCCTCATTGGCTCCATGATCACAAAACGAGCTGATCGTTAAGGAGGTAATGGTTCTGATCCAACAGCCTCAGCAGAGCAGCCGGCAAATCAAAAATCAATCATTTACAAAGAAAGTCCGTTAAAGGAAGAAGAAGCAGCTAGAGGTGTCGAACTCGGTTACAAAAAGGAGCCAAATAAACAGACAAAAATGTATTCTAGTAAAAGTAGAAGTACCACGTTAACACTTTTACTTAAGTAAAAGTAAGTAAGCACTTGCATTTAAAAATACTTAAAGTATTAAAAGTAAAAGTACTTGCTGAATGTATTACCCAATGTAATGGTCTACAACATCATTAAGTGTGCCTGTATGTATATTTTCTGTAATACATTAATAGTGTTGAGCCATTTTAATGAACAATGCTGCAGATAATACATGTTTTTATTGTGTTTACTCTGTGACACAGTTCACACTTGGACTTGTGATTCTGTGCATCAGAATTTCAGGGATGGCGTGCAGAGTTAAATGCCATTAAGCAAAATAAGAAAGAGGAATGATTATACCTTTGAAAGTTTTTATTTGACACAAAGCAAAACCAATGTGTCATTTTAACTGCAGTAAACACGTTTAAGTAAAAGTTGTCTGTTTTATAAAAGGAGCATTAGACAAAGTACCCATGTTTAACTCTACTAAATAAAGTACAGATACATGAAAAATGTACTTAAGTACAGTTTTGTACTTCGTTACATCCCACCACTGCAGCTGATTTTAACTAATCAGATACCTGATGTAATTTATTGGATGCAGGTTCATGAACAAGAGTTTGAGCTGCCACTCAATGTTCTGTTACTCTTTCCACATCAGAATCAATAATGACAGAATGATCCAACCGTCTTTCTGGCTTCAAAGTTAACCAGCTGGCAAGAGAAGTCTATAGTAAATTATGTATTTATCTTTTTTTATTTATTCTTTTTTTTAAAGAAAAATTTAGAAGAGATACGATATTTTACGTTTAAATTATCATCTTGGGGGACCAGATTTGGCCCGTGGCTCTTGAGCTTGACATGTGGAGAGGGTTAAGGTTAGTGGGCGGGGCTATCTCACCCCTGAAGGTTCTGACAGGTCCAAAGTAAAAATGAACTTTGATCAGTTTTCCTCAGTTTGATCATAAAGTGGCTTCTCTGTAAAATAAATGTTTGAAGTTTGAAATGTTTTCCTTTTCCCAAAAAGGTGAAGTCGTGTTTTTTATTCTTTCCTCCTCTTCATCGTCTTCTTGATGACGTCGTCTCTACAACAGCATGTGAGTTTGTAAACGTTTAGCTCCACAAATCTCTGCGGACGCTTCTGTTTAACTCTGCGTTTGTCTGATCTGTCTGAAGGGGGTAAGTCACGCTTCCATCCACATTTCTGCTAAACCGTGTGAAACAAACTACAGCCCTCACACATCCGAGACAAAGTGCCTGATGACAACATCCATCTCCATCCATCCATCCATCTCCATCCATTATCTTTACCCGCTTCTTCCTTTTCGGGTCACGGGGGTCACTGGTGTCCATGTCCAGCTATCCCTGTGTGAGAGGCGGGGTACCCCAGGACAGGTCTCCAGTCCATCACAGGGACACTCTGGACAGGTCTCCAGTCCATCGCAGGGACACATAGAGCCAAACGAGACAAACAACCTAACAAAGTTAAGTCAGATCCTCTGGACGGATTTAAAAAAATAAAAATTGTTGAAACGTTTCGTCTTTCATCCGAAAGACTTCTTCAGTCTTCTTCAATCGGACTGAAGAAGACTGAAGAAGTCTTTCAGGACCAAAAACAAAAGTCTACAACACTGAAGGCAGCGGGTCGGACATTTTCCAGCGCCACAGGATCTCATGTATGAGTTTTACTTTTGTCTTTGCTCATTTAGTTTCTTTGAATAAAAACACTTTTATTCTACAGTTGTTGAGCAGAATAATTATCGTAATGTGTTTTAGGTCTGAGAGTTTCTCCTCTGGATTTAGTTCAGGTCAAGCCCCTGAATCAGAATCAACTCCTGAGGCGACCAGACTCCCATGCCTGTCCTTTAGTCGTAGGTGTTGAGCCTTTTGAATCACTTTGGATTGTTTTTCTTATGTTTTTTTATTTTGTCTCAGATTTTGCCTCGCGTGAGAAAGAAAGTCTAAATTATAAAACAATCCACATTAACTTTCAGCTGTGGTTTTCTTTCTGTTGCTGCAGGAAAAACGTCAGCAGCGTCCTTGAAAAGAGACAGTTCCTATAAAATTTACATGGTTTGTCTTTTCACCTGAGGCGGTGTTCTGTTCAGTTCTGTTTCCATTTAAGGCCGTTCTCTGAACCTGACCTGCTTCTGGTTCTGTAGGAGTCATGAAACCCGATGGTTTGAAGAAGTCTGACTGGTCGTGGTGTTTAAAGTCCATCTGTGTGTCTGCAGGACGCTTCAATCTGACGGAGCGCTTTGAAAAATTAAACCAAGAAGTAAAACAGGAAAGAAAGCTCAGAAATTAGTCGATATTTAGATTTTAGGGACGTATCCAGAGTTTGTAAATAAATTCTTAGTGCTCGCAGATGAGTCTTTGTGAAAAGATTAAATAAAACGCATCTCTGTTTTATTTCAGGGTTACACCGCACTTCATCTGGCCTCCATCCACGGACACCAAGACATCGTTCAGACACTAATCAGCTCACACAGTGAGTCAACCCCATAAGAACCAGAACCTCCTGAAGGTCCAAATGAGACGTAGTCTTAAGCTTCTGTGTTTGCAGATGGTTTAAAAGGGAGGTTCTGAACTGCTGGTTCTGATCCACAAGTTAAAAACCACGTCATGGTTCCTCAGTCATACATCCACCTCGTGAACTTGAGTTGTGAGACTCAAACATGAAGAACTGGGCCTGAAAGCAGCCACAAACAAACACACAACCTCAGTTACCCAGAATTCATCAGTGGGTCTGTAGCTGGTTCTGTATAGGTCTGCGCCCGGTTCTGTGGGTCTGGACCCGGTTCTGTAGGTCTGCGCCCGGTTCTGTGGGTCTGACGAACAGTAAAAAGAAAACAGGAAAATTTTTGGCTTGTTTAAAGACGACAGACTGAACATATATGCATTTTGTTGCAAACTTATTGTAATATTCTGAATGCAGTGCAGACCTGAAACATGCTTCTGTTGTCAGTCAACGAGCGTGCACGTTTCCTTTCAGCGCACGTTTCAAATTGATATTCACACATGGAAAATCAGACGGCGAGGGATTCTTCCCCTCCACGCCTCACGAACTCTCAGAGCCAGAAAAACAACTGATGCAAATCGCTGCTGCCAACAAAGAGCTGCCGCTCAGACTGACAGCCCCCTCACCATAAACCCCCACCCACCCATTTCCACACCTCCAAGGTTGGAGGCGAGGTGTGGACTCCATCCTGCTCCTAATTACACCAGTTCTCTAGACACCTTCACCGTGGACCAGATCCCTGTGGTGCCACCCAGGGAGAATCGGGGGGTAAGTGGGGCAATAGTTCTTCTGTAGAACGTGTATGTAATTTCCCACGTTCTGAGAGATCCTTGAACTGCTCATTGTTTACATGTGAAGAGAAGCTTAAATAACATATTTTTCCAGTAGTGTGTACCCAAAGTGTGTACCTGCTGTGTGCTCATGCAGTGTGTACCGTGCACACAGTGTACACTTGCAGAATGTACCACAGAGTGTACCTGCAGTGTGTACCACTGAGTGTACGTACAGCGTGTACCTGCAGTGTGTTCATGCAGTGTGTACTGGGCTGACAGTGTGCACCTCCACTGTGTAGCACAGGGTGTACCTGCAGTGTGTACCACAGAGTGTACCTGCAGTGTGTACCACAGAGTGTACCTGCAGTGTGTACCACAGAATGTACCTGCAGTGTGTACCACAGAGTGTACCTGCAGTGTGTACCACAGA